CCTTCTCTTCTAGAGCTAGTTCGTCGTTTCCTCTATGTTCAACAGCATGATGGCCCTGTTGAACTTGGAGAGAACATTGACCTTGCACTCTGTCCACCTGCTCCTCGCCAGATCTCTGTGTTTCCTTCAGCTGTTGCCTACTTCTATGCACCCAGCGATGTATGTGGTGTTAGAGGCATGCGCAAGGAGCGCATTAGATCTGTGCCTTCATGGCGTGGAGGTCCTGCCCGCCGGGACTGTGTCTTTATTTTGGATGATGACACTCAGCCTGGCTTTCTTGGGTTGCTTGCAGCTCGTGTTCTTCTTCTGTTTTCTTTCAAGGACATAGATGGTGTGGAGTATTCTTGTGCTCTTGTCTCCTGGTTTCTGCCTACTTCTGATCATCCATGTGAAGAGACAGGGATGTGGACAGTGGAACCTCAGGTGGATGAGTTTGGACATCAGACTGTGTCTGTTATCCATCTTGACTGCATTCTACAGGCTGCACACCTTATTGGTGTTGCTGGTAAAGATTCTATTCCCACTAGGCTCAAACATACTGATAGTTTAGATGCATTTACTGCCTTCTATGTAAATAAGTATGCTGACCATCATGCACATGAAATTGCCTTCTAATATATCATTGAACTCAAGTCCTCTAAATTGTTGAATGCTAAGACCACGGACTTGAGCTTATGATCTTATACTTGGCTCTAAGATTATGGACTTGGAGCCAAGACCGTGGACTTGGGGCCAAGACCACGGACTTGGGGCCAAGACCACGGACTTGGGACCAAGACCGTGGTCTTGACCCTAAGTTCAGATCTAAGACCCTGACGTTTTGCTGATGTGACAGTGATTCCTCAGAAGCAGGGCTTTGCAGCCAACCCAGAATACTTTCAAGAAGTCGGGTAAGATGTCCTCTATGATGTACTGGGACGAGACAACCTCGGCTGCGGCACGTCGCTGCATGGCCACCAAGATGACACCCCCACCAAACATTTGGAGCCCACAGACGAAGACGACGGCGACCTCCTTAATGCAGTACGAGACGTACTCTTGGTCCATACGCAGGAGGATGAAACCGATGGCTTTCAGGAACGCTGCGAGAGACTTGCCATAGTGGAGATGGATGCCGATTTCGAGCGATGTGTTCAGGAGACTAGTGAGACGTCGGAGAGAGGTGCAAGGTGTAGTGTAGATCTATCGTCTGACGTCCATGTCTATAGGAGCAGAACGAAGAAGTGAATATATACAGATCAGATACGTAGTAAGGAAATCACGTTGTCAATGCAGTGTATAAGGCAAGAACTATAGGAATGGGTGAGTCACTGTTGCGCTGTCCAGAAGGAGCCGACCGTGCTCCTCTATAAGACTTTGATTGCGAGCCTCTACCATCCCGCCACTTGCAATCGAGGCCCGGATTTCCGCATCCTCGATCTCGCGTGTCTTGATGCGAACACAGGCACGGCAGAATGCCTCCCAGTAAGTGTTGTTGTCCTTATATTTCGTGGTCCCTTTGTGGTAGTGGTTCCACCAGTGTGAGGGTGGAGGGATGGCAGAACGAGAGGGAGAATCATCTATTACTGTAGCTACCATGTACATTGGGCTATCTAGCTACACCGCCGGGCGACTCCAGATATCAAAGTGGTCTTAGGAGGCAACCTTATAGATCACGTATGTCCAATATCATAAGACCGAGATGCGCGCCATACGGGATGGGTATCAGCCGCCTATATTGGTGCCACATGGTGGCTGACATCGATGAAGTCTCATCCCGTTGTCTCTATGATACTTCCTCTCTGACAGTGTTCTCATACCGGGCTCATACTGTGATGATATCGTGAACTGCATCAAGTATATGTCTGAGCACGCCATCGCCTCTCGGCCAATCTTTCCGCTTTCCGGCGGACACGTGAAGGTTTGGGCTTGTTGCGAGGTATAAAGTTTTCGACAACGTCGGACTTACAGCAAGAATCATCTTTGTCCTCACCATCCTCGACCTTCACTGCACCTGTGGTCTACCTGCATCTCCATCCCTTGGTCCAGTACGGTTCGTCTCTGCCATCATTCTCTATCCCTTGCGTGTGGTACGCCCTTTAAGGCAGTTGCTCATCATTCTGTATAGTAGTCAATTGAGGAGGAAGATTCGGTGATTCACATCGCCTTTCCTTTGGTATGTTCTGCCCTTTGAATCATCTTGATCCACACAGGACTAATGTGTTGTGCAGTTAGCATTGTCTCAGTATATGGGGCCAGCAGCCAAGCGGGCAGGCTTTGTGACACGCAGGAGTCCGGGGTTGGTGTCGTCGAGCAGGTGAGTCGAGCAAATCGCGTACATGCTTTTGGAATCCCTCGATTTGTACATCTGCTGACCAGCAACATCGGCTGCCAGACTCGCCATGCTCACGCGAGCAGGACAGCGGGAAGGAGACAGAACAGGAGGGCGTCCGAGGGGACCAGGTATCGTGTTGGGCCAGTATCCCATGTCGTTCCGTGTAACATGCTTCCCGTACATACATATTATGTAGTCTGTAACACGCTCAATATATTCATATTTGAATTCTACACCTATATGATTCGATGGTGAATATTCGAACGTGAGGGATTGTGGGCGGAAGCTAACGTAAAACCCGGCAGCTAATCAAACGGGCGCCATCGGAACTATGTAGAGTCGATAAAGGGGAGAACATGGACTATAGACAGGGGCGACCTGAATGGCATATGGGATCAGCAGTATGGGATCAAGAAGGTCTAATGTTATATTGATGAGAGGTACCCCGTGGATAGAGATTCGACATCAGCAAAAGTGCAAAATGGTTGGCTAAGGTTGGCCCGATTGGCCATGGCGTCGAAAATTGGCGCAGATTGTACTCGCCTCCAATCAGAGCCAATTCGAAGCAATTTGCGCAATCCATTGGGCCAATAATCTCTCTATGGAATACTTGATAGCCCAGATAAGCCCAAGCGCCCGTTTCCGTTTTTGACACCTTGCCTATGGCAGACCGACATGTAGTCCCGATTTAGCCCCCCGACGCGACGTCATTCACAGCCTATGATGCAGCACTGACAAGAATACATATAGCTGCGGCCTGAGAACCTGGTAGACGTATCTTCCTCCTCCCGACTCTCATCCTCTCCCCTCCATCAATCAACCCTGTTGTCACGGACACCTGCTAAGGTAAGTCATATGAAAGCTCATCAGCGCTCCGCAGTCAAGGTAGGCATTATTTGTGCGCAATCACTTTTGCACCTGCATATATGCACCCGATCTAAAGGTACGTCTTCGCGGCGCTAACGGATTTACTATGGTACGTTCTGTTGGTTATTTGTTTGCCCCGGTAAGTCTCTGTAACGCTGAACATCTGGCCATCATCTATTGGTGAGTCGGTAACCTGAAAACGTCGCGGTAATTCCCTTCCGGATCCCTTCGATTTCCGCTTTATGTACACACGCTAGGGTTAGGGTATCACACGTCTTTTTTGGCACATGTAGTACTATGTAACATATCGCACAATAATATAGTTGTGATAAGCCTCAAATCACGCAGTCGTTCTATTTGTGGGAAAAGCGAAGTCCCTCATGTATACAATCCGCAAAATCTGAGCAAATCAAGCGTGTCTAAAGGGAAGCTCGAGACTTGAAACTCTTCGGCCCAAGCGGTTGTCTCGATTGGCTTCAATTGGCCCCATTGGCTTCGAGTGCAATACTGTGTCACTATTTTATATGAAGGGAATCATAAAGAACTTAGCATGCTTGAAGCAATCAAGTGGGTAAATTGACTGACGTATTCTCAAGGGTTTTCGAACCTACTGCAACCCAATCGTGATGCAGTTTTGCTGATGGATATGGCCGACGATATGTGATCGGCCTCTCCCGACGATATCTGACACTTATCGCTCTCGCCCGGCGGTGTAGTGACGACACAATCAAGGTCTGCATCAGGCCGCGATGCTATCGCGGGGAGCTAGCGTCGGGGGAGGAGCTCGGTACACGGTCGGACTGTTCTACGCGAGGGCCGACAGTGTATCACGTGTTGACCCCTCGAAAAGGTCAGACCCGGGTCAGACCCCAAGTCAGACCCCGGGGTCAAGCCGAGAGGGTCAAGGGGTCGAGTCTTGACCCGCACACCTCTGGCTGTGGAGCTCAGCATTTCACGGAGAGCGTGACAGTGAGATTCCCCTCTCCGCACCAGCCCTTGCTACGACGCTGGTATATATGTTGCCGACGGGGCCAAGTAAGTAGATCAGGAGTTCTGTGTAAGTTGGTCCTTTTCCATGCCCTCGTCAGCCACGTTGGCCGCCCGTCAGGCTAGCGCTGTTGTGCCACCATCCTCCGTAGACGAGGCGTACACGATGCGTACAGTAGAACTCGCCGCTTTCAACGTTGGTATGTAAGACTCCGCTCTTCGTGTTTCCAACGTCGCTAAGCATCCTTAGATCCAAACAATTGGTCTTGGGATGAGCGAGAACGCTGCTCCTGGACCCCGGCCAGTGCTACCTGGCAAGCCTTCGCTGCCAAGTGGCGGAACCCCACCACCCCCTCCGTCACCGAGACACCCGACTTGAGTGATATCGCAGATTTTCTTCAAGTCCGCTCTTCCTCGACAACGTGCTCGTCCGTGATTGCTATCTAGAGGCCGAGAACGTGCTTTGGCGTCGGGCTGTGTCGCCTGGCGGCAAGGACGGAGTGAGATTCATCGGTCAGCCCGGCACTGATAAGCAGTTCTTCAGTTCTCGTTGACCGCGCACAACTGAAGAAGCTCCGCAGGAAGGTCTGTTTTCCTCGTATTCCTCCTTGTCCGCCTGTTGCAACGGGGACAGGTTGTGTTAGTTCACTTCCCTGGTTCCCTGTGCTTGCTTTTTTATTTCGATGGAGTCTACAGCGCACCGGGTCCCAGGCAGTGCTTCCCCGGGGCCCACGATACGGCTCCATATGGTCACTTATCGAAGTCGCTAAAGGCGACGTCGTCCTAATTTTTGCATACACGCTGCGTGTTTCCCAATTTCAGCCTCATACCCGGATCCTACGAGCTATTTTGAATGGCAGAACAGACGGTGCCCACTCATCACTGCGTTCCCGCTGTGGTCGACCGAGGAGCTTAGGCAAGGGTGCGTGCATTTCCGACGTAGCGTGTAATTGCGCGTCTTCACTCCTCGTTAGGCCAGGCTGCCCTTGCAACGTGGGCTCGCCGGCATCAGGAATGAATTGTAGCACCAGTTGGCGTCATGGACCACCCCTCCCGCACTCGTGCACCAGAATACAGATGTCCTCGCACACCTCCGATCGGTTTATGGAGAAGATCCCCCTGAATCTCTCGACGAAGCCTTCAATACCATTCTAGACCATGCGATCGCGCATTTCGGTCATGTTCCACGGGACGTATACTCAGCAATCACCAAGGACTTCCACTACGTCCACAGGATGCATTTGGCAGCAATCGGTCGGGATGTGAACGACTGACGAAAATGCTCACCGCGGTCAGAGGCGCCATATACTTGACCATGAACCATCCTTCTCACCGAGCCATCGTCGTTTATCCCCGTGTGCCGCTGGGCCACCCATTGGAATCGATGATTGACTTCAAGTCCCCCTGGATGGCGAAGCAAATCGTGGCCGTTTAGAGAAGGAGGGGGCGCAACAAGTGCGCGACGCGATGTTGCAGTTTGTTACCGGGCCTCAAGGGAGTTCGTTCATAGCGTGGTTTTTCGAGGCGCTTGCCCCACCGCATCATCGCCTCGAGAGGCTGCATCGACGATCATGATCTGAGGAGGATGGCCTATATACTGACACCAAGACTGCGGCCTTCGTCGTCGATTGGTCCGACTTCACGGCGCCGGCTGAGCGTTCTTCACGCTCAGAGCCCTCGAGCGTTCTTCCGCCTTGGCCCAAGGTCGAACAGACCACGCCGTTCAACATCTCCTGTTTTCCAAACGCCTTCAGCTACGACACTTACTACACGCCTACCTCCTTTTGTCCTCTCGTCGATGCGTTCGTCGTCTCGCGAAATGCCGACTCGACCGATGCGCATCTCTGGATTCTTCAACTTGAAAACGTCGAGGCATCATGCAGGATCATCGAAAGGCTACGCCTTGATCCGTTAGATTGTAGGCGCACTCCGCTCGCAAGTCAAAGAGGTTCCCGGGGCAGCCCAGGTGGAGGAACAACCTGTTGCGGGTGCGGTGGTGCTGCCACCTCACTCAACGCCTCTATCGAACTTACCACGACGTACGAGTAAGCGGCTGCTCGACAAGGCGCAGCAGCAAGGGTCCAAATCACCGCCGTCGAACAAAAGGGCGAAGGTAGACTTTGGAGGCAGAGTCCACGTTCACTATGTGCTTGTCCATCCGCAAGGCTTTCTCCAAACCCTCTTTGTGTGCCGGTGGAATCTGCTGGAAGGTTGGGATGAGGGCGTTACAAGGTATGATCATCGCGGAGATGGCTATCTTCTGGAGATTCCTATTGAAGTGTGTACATTCAGCGCCGTCTTCCCGCTGTCATGCATTTTTGTCTGAATCGCTGTCCAGCCGACGATCGATAATCTCAGCGGTGCTCTGGGAGTGCGCTTCGGAAGTTGAGGTACTACGCGGTGATGTTCAAAACGGTTTAACAGTCGTGTGGATTAGCGTCGTAGCCTTTATCATCCACGTTCCCTCTACTTTGATAATGCAGATATCAGCGTTGTTCAGTCGAAATTGCTGTAGCTTACAGCTCCGAATATAAGGTCTTCCTTTTGGGAAGCTTCGTCATACCGCCGATGGCACGTTCCGCTCCCGTCCATCCCATGACCTCCCGTCGATGGTCCCCAATCGATCATGACGTCGTGCGACATGATACACAAAATCGGACCTCAAGCAACGAAACTGGGCAAGGAGGGATAATGACGGGCACATCACGGCGACCTGCGAACAAGCAGAGTAAGACCGCAGTCCTGCAGCGCATGGACGGTGGTCACCATATCTCGATGTCCTATCCCACCGCTACGACTTCGAAGATTCTGCATGAGACTCTCCTTGCTCCACTGCGGACGGCGGGAACATATAGCGGAGACATCAGACTATGCACTCGAGCGGAAATCTCCAGTAGGTACCCATCTCCTCGATGGTCGTTCCTCGATTCTAGCCTACAGATCAACTCCACCAGCAGGGCGAGTGAGTCCGCTAAAGCTTAAGGAGGGACGGACACCTAATGGAATTGAACTTTGGACTTGAAGTCTGCCTTCGTCTTCAACGTCTTGGCTGGTGGTGGTGACCTGGGCCCTTGCTATTGCGCCTCGTCCGGTTGTTGTTGACCTGTCCGTCGCTACAAGGTTCATAAACACAGTGAATTAGATTACATGGTCGCGCCCGCAAGACGTTGCTCGTTCGCCTGTCTCCCATCTCGGAAATCTGTTTAGTTGTGAGCGAAGTGCAGACACGGTCTTATGGGCGATGGTATGGTCCTTTACCATTCACTAAGGCTTCCTGTAAGCGGCCACCTGCAAATAAATATGTTCTACGAGACACGGTACCCTCTCTCAGCGCGCCGGCAGATTATAACAGGAATCTATATGCATCATTTCGACAGAGGATGCTCGGCATGCATTGCACAATGGTGTACAGAGGGTGATTGAAAGTCTACAAGTACAGAACGAAAAGCGCACGCGTGTGAGTGAGTTTGCTTAGTACCGGTAGCGAGTAGAATAGTCTGTCAAGGAGTTAGGTTCAGCACGAACGCACGAACGTCGAGGAAGATGTCAAACATACCTTTAGGCGAAACGACAAGACCACGGCCCTTAGAGGCACCACGGTAGACAGTTTCGATGATGTCAATTAGCTGGGGTATTAGCGTCAGTAATGCGAATCAGTCCGACCTTCGCGAGTACTCACTTCCTGTTTGTTATCCATTGCCCAGTTACTAACGCGGCACGGGCAGGAGATAAGCACCTAGACAGAGGGCAGACGAAGAGCAGGCACGTACATCTTATTATTGTTACCAGTCCCAAGATCTATCATGATGTGCTTGTTTCTGGTATACGCAAAGTTAGTATGTATCCTCTTCATATTGTAGTATAGGTGAACGTACCGGTAGAAGAACATGACCGTGCAAGGGTCGTACAACTCGTACATCTGCCCACCCATCGTGAATCCCCCACTCTCCAACCTCCCGAAAGTAATCACACACCTTGTTGAAATCCGGTACCTCCGTAATATCAACCAGATAGATGACCGCAAAGTTCTGAACCTTCTCCGCAACGGCGTGGAGGGTCTCGTCCATCGTCATGCACTGGCTGTCCCAGTCGTGTCCGAAGCGGATCACGACGACGCGGTCCTCCTCGGACTTGATAGCTTCATCGACATGCCAGCCAGAAGGGAGGTGAGGAAGAAAGTAGGACATCTTGCGGTGGAACTTGAGAGGACTGATACAATAGCAGACTCGGGAAAGCTGAAGACGTCGGACGAGGAGACGAAGTGGGTGGCGGGCGGATGAAGGATGATGAGATGGTTGTTTACGCGTGTTTGGCTCGTATGCTCGTGGTTGTTCCTCGACGACGAGCACGACGACGGCGATCTTCTTGCACTCGTTCACTGCACTATTCTGCTTGCCTGCTTGCACCATGTCATCAGGATCAACGAACCCGACGCGCCCCATCGTCTTTATGGATATCAATATCGGAGAAACGCCTGCAGGTCGTCTGAAGATGGAGCTATTCAGTGACATCGTACCCAAGTGAGTGCACACGCCATCCTCGCACTCTGAGTTATTCCTTCTGGTTCCTCCTTGTCTCCCATGTTCACTTGCCAGTACGTGGTCGCCGTCATAAAGGAAGTGAGAGTTTCTGAGAGGATAATCAGCAGGGAAGGCGTTCTCCGGATTCGCGGATTCCAGTAATCTTGGTAGTTTGCAAGCTCTTCTTCCGCTAATATGTCTCTGGTGACGGGAGTCGTCTTCCACATCAGAGGAGTAGGGGATAAACATGCTGGAAGTTAAACCTAGCTGCCGATATCTTTACTCGTCCCTTATGCGAGCACTGAAAGCGTTGACGTCAATCACCCCGCAGAACCGCTGAGAACTTCCGGCAACTGTGCACGGGAGAGTATAGGGTGAACTCGAGACCACAAGGCTACAAAGGGGCAACATTCCATCGGTGCGTCCCACTTGTCGTTTGCTGCGATTGATTTGCCCATGCTTGCTGATACAGAGCCATCATTTAGAGTGTAAGTCTCTCTAAGCTACAGTTGTCACGCAGAGATTGATTATATCTGCCCAGTGTACCAAATTTCATGTGTCAAGGTACGCCCGCTGTATCATCAGCTCGACAATGGGAGATACTCAACTATTCATCTCTAGGCGGCGATTTCATCAAAGGCGATGGCACTGGCTCGTTTTCAATATACGGTGACAAGTTCCCCGTCAGTCGTTACTGTTTTGTTGTAGTAAAGGTTTGATGGCCCACTCAACGTTCCTGCAGGATGAGAACTTCAAAGAGAAGCACACAGGTCCCGCATTACTATCCATGGTACGTAATACCAGGGAAGGCGTTCCAATCATTCGATTGTCTCATTCACGTCTCAATTTTGTAGGCGAATTCTGGGCCGAACACGAATGGATGCCAGTTCTTCATTACTACGGCGAAGTGTGACTTCCTCGACGGGAAGCACGTCGTCTTCGGCCGGGTTATAGACGGCATGTTGACCCTCCGCAAGATTGAGAATGTCCCCACCGGTCCTAACAATAGGCCGAAGCTTGCGGTGAAGATAGTCGGTGCGCACGCTGTCTTGGTCGCTTTTATGTGAAGTACCTAAATTGCTGTCTTCACAGAATGTGGCGAGATGTAATGTCATATGCATGAGGTCGAGCTGTAGCCCTAATTTTGACATTGATTCGGCATTGCCATGTAATTATGTCATGCTATTGCAATGAGGTGTAATTTGTAGCATGCAGGTCGTGTATGCGTGTCTTCATGTTCCAAAAAGTATTGTGCACGCGGCGGCAGAGCGATGCCCAAATGCGGCGGCGGGCCGCGCAACAGCGGCATGACGCTTGCTTACCGCCACCTTCTCGCAGTCGCACTCTTGGTCCCCTTCCTCATAGCCCCGGCTGTGGTGGTTGCGGCAGCGCGATACGCACTCGGTACTCTCCATGACCGACTGAACCTCGACGAGAAAGAGATGGAGAAGCCACTACCCGATCTGCCGGCAGGCACGGCGTCTCGCGCGCGTCGCACGTCCTCGAACCTGGCCTTGACAGTCGAAGCACGCGCGCATCTGCATCATTTCATCTCTCGACTACTGGAGGAGGAGAATGACCTTCGCGATAAAGAGACATGGGCGGAACGCTTGGAAGCGTCGCTGAACGACCTTGGAGCGAGTATGGAGCGAGGCGGATGGCTTGCGGGGTTCAAGCGCGCGAGGTACGTCCGGAAACGACAGCACGATGAAGAAGAGAAGAGACGGGCGGAGGAACAGGCGAGGAAGGACAAAGAGGAGCAGGAGCAAGCGAGAAACCGGACGGCGAAGGGCAAGAGCAAGTTGAAGGAAACGTTTGTCGAAGAGCTCGTCGCGGAGGACGTCCCGACCGTCAAAGAGCTTGCTGCTTCGCTCGAACAGCTCAGAGAGCATGCGTCAAACCCAGTGCCACCGACGCCCAAGCCATCCGTTAAACACATGCTTCTCACAGTGTCGGGTCTGCCGTCCTCGGAGCCCTCAGAGGACATGGGGTTCAAGCTAGTGCGCTCCGCCATACATTGCTCCTTCAAGTCGGGTGAATTTGCGCTTCCGAGGGCCGTCGATGGAGAGGACGTGGCTGATCCTGTAATACTTACCGGTCTGGAGAACTGGGGTGGTGAGTACATGCCGCTTCCATATCTTGAGTGCGTGACCAAGATGTTCGCAGCTTCTCTCCTGTCTAGCGACGACCCTCTTCAAGTGGTCGGGGGCACCTTTGTACTGAAAGGCCTAAACGCCCTGCCTCAATATCATGCTGTTTGTCGCATTCTCCGCCTCGCTGTGTTTACTTATCTCTCCCTACTTCTCGAGCAAGACTTGCTGTCGAACTCGCACGTCGAACTACACTACCCCAAGGTTACGATCCCTAATCTTCCTACATTCCCTCTTACTGTGGAACGCGCGTCGAGTTCTCCTAATGTCAAGGAGAAGCCACGACGCGACTCTGGTCCCGGTCTTTGGTCGTTCCTGTCCAAGAAGACGGAAGATCTCTTGCACCGCGCGACGAACGCCGCACCCGTGATTGCTAGACGTGGCTCTGTCGACTTATCTTTTGGGGCGAAATTCCAGAGGGCCACCTCCCTACCGCATGGTCCGGACGGGGGCTTCCTGTCGCGGAGGCTGTCGTTGCTCTCTACAGTTGCGTCGAGGACGTCTCAGGACTCGAAGGACCCGCAGACGACGATTTTTGCAACTCTCGTAGAACGTCTGGATCTGTGGAAAGACCTCTTATCTACATCGCCTGGAGTCGTCTTCTATCTTCCTGACTTTCTAGTCTCGATCGTCGAAAGAGAGTCGAAGGATCCAGGGCGCAAGCTACTCGGGGATGAGAAGGCTGCCCTGACAAGCCTTCTTGGCTGGCAAGGCAAGGAGACCTCGAGTCAGGGTATGACTGGCGTGTCTGGCTTTGTACGACATCAAGGCATCACCGTCCTCTACTCAGAACACATACCGGGAACTAGTACCTTACTTTCCTCTCCTCCCACCCCGAGCAAGTCCGACAATGCTTCGGTTGAGCTTCAAACACCACCCCGGCTCCCGTGTTGGGGCCAGCGGCGTAAATGGATCAACTATCGCTACTACCAACGAGGGCGACACTGGGATGAGTCGCTCGGCGAGGCAATTGTACGCTGGTGCGAAACGGCGGAAGATCCGTGCCGCCATCCGGAGTGCCAGTTCCAGCGGGGCGAGCACGACATGCGCTGGATTCACGGCGGCGTACGCTTGCTGGCTACGGTGTCGCCGCCAACATCCGGCGATGCGTCCACATCCGACGATTCGGTGCGCATGTGGGTGGGCTGTGGGATCTGCGGCAAGGAGTCGTCGAAGGAAGTCATGCATGATGGCACATTGTGAGCCCATATTTCCGAGACCGTTCCAGTACGACTTGCTTATGCTGTGTACGACAGCATGTTCTCCTTCGCGAAATTCTTCGAGCTCCTCGTGTACTCGCCCGCAATCCATACCCTCTCTCCACCACTCTGCGGGCATACAGCGTTTCCGGAGAAACCGTGGTCCCCCGTGGATACCCCAATCCCTCAGGCACGCTTCAACATCATTCGGAGGTTCTCGTACACGGGTCGAATCGTGACCATGACTCTCAATGATATCAGGGATGTCTTCGAGGTACAAGTCCCGAGACTGCAGATTTTGCGACGGAAGGCAGCAGAGAGGAAAGTCCCGCCGGACTCGGCGTCGAATCGCAACGGTGCGCAGCCGAGCGTACTGGGAGAAGCGCACAAGATCCTACGACGAGAGATCATGAGGTGGTGGCAAGGGTTGTCCGACCACATGGACCAACTTGTGAGTCTCCCATCCATTAACCAGGTTCTCTAGCGCGCTGACCAGCAAGGTAGGAGGAGCGGTTCATAGCGGATCATCCGAGCGCATTCCACAAATCTCTTCCCCGATTGCCTTCGACAGACGATGACTATGACGCTCAATCCGAGGACGACGCACTATCGACACCCAAAGCGCACCCGAAACCGCCTCCCAGCAGCCCTCTGACGCCGAAGGTGTACTCAGGCGTCGGGGGTGCGACCAACTCATATCCATTCCTCCCTACTCCGTATAATAGCCCGTCCCCCGCCTCACAACCCGGCTCGGTATCAACATCCGCGCTGTCATCTCCGACGCCTACTGATTCAGTAATGACGTCGAACACGTCAAGCACCATAACGAGCGGCGATGTCGATTCGTTACAGTTATTGGCGGGATTGCGGTACAAATTTCAGCAGACGGAGCAGGAACTGTACACGGAGCTCGCACACACATCGGAGAAGAACCTCAATGATATCCGTCGGTCGTTCGTTACTGCCGCTCGAGGTGCAACCAAGCGACTGGCTGCATGGGAGAAGAAGCACTCGTCAGAGGCGCATGGACATCCGAGCACTTTGTCTGAACCACCTGTTGTCCCCGAACCGGAGTGGTGGAAGAACGGATGCCATGCTGTCCCAGGCGGCAATGTCATCGTCAGGGAGGACGACTGGGGGAGTATAATTGCATTCACGCTCAGGTGTGTAGACGCTGTCGTTATATGCGGTCAGTGTTCTGACTGACTGCAATTGGGGTCGCAGCACCGCGGACTACCAAAGGGAGCTGTCGAATATGTCCACGCCACGAAACAACACCGCGCCCGCTGCTCCTCCGACAACTCCGACGGTCCCTCGTCCATCTCTATTCAGGACACCGGAGTCGTTCAGGCGGTTCGTCTCCGGTTCCACGCCTCATCTGCCGGACCCCGATCATGACGACGCGGGTTGGCAAGAGCCCGAAACGTACTCGGCTGTGATTAGTCGCAAGGAACACCCGCGAGAACCCGCAGCCCTCGCGGCGATACGAGACGTCCTGCGACAGAAAGCGTCCGCTGACTCCGGAATGTCTCCATCCTTGCTCTCGCCGGCCGGTGCACCAAGTGGAAAACTGAATGGCACTGAGACCCCTCGCTCTGTTCGCGCCAAGCCCGCGGTCGAAATTTCGACCCTTGCCGCCGGGGGTCAAGTAAGCGGAATGCCTGCAGCCGTGGAATCGGCGGGCAAGATTTTACACGATCTCGAAGCAATCTCGAAAGCGAATCCGTCGCGAACATCCCTATCGGACAGTCGACATTCGTCGTCCGGATTCTTCGAGGCGACCATTCGTCGCGGCAAGGCATCCTCGCTAATGACGGACAGCGATGGTTCTACAGTACAGGAAAGTACCGGAAGTAGCGTCACAAACCCCCCTCCCTTGCCTCCCAAGGATCTCTCAGAGTCGAAAGACGGAGGGGACGCACACAGTGGTACAGAGCCTCCCCCGACACCAGCAAAGTCCGGTTTCACGTCAGTCTTCACGAATTCGCTCACCTCAGCGATGCGCTACGTCCTCCAACCAGGCGAGCTTCCAAGACCGTCGCCAGGAAAGGCGCACCATGGACTACTATCCGCCGACGCCCCTGCTATAGATGAACGGCCTCACATCAAGTATGACTGGACGATCGGGAAACGGCTGCGGTTTAGCTGTACAGTGTACTATGCCAAGCAGTTCGACCAGCTTCGGAAGCGATGCGGGGTGGAAGATGTCTTCATGAAGAGCATGGCGAGAAGCGAGAACTGGGCTGCTGAGGGCGGAAAAAGTCGCTCGAATTTTTGGAGGACGACGGATAACCGCTTCATCATCAAGACCCTCGTTAACGCATGGAATGTCGCTGACCTGTAAGCCTTTCTTGTCGTTTTCTTGAGCTGCCATAACCAACTGCCCCTTTCTAGCCAAGTTCTGATCGATCTGGGACCCTCCTACTTCAAGTACATGGAGGCGACGGCGAGTAAACCGACTGTCCTTGCCAAGTTGCTGGGGTTCTACACCGTTGAGATCCGCAACCTGGAGAATGGGAGTACTCAGGCGAAAGCCGATCTGCTAGTGATGGAGAATCTCTTCTACGATCGGAAAATCACAAAGACTTTCGACCTCAAGGGTATCCAGGGACGTAAGATCAAAGCCAGCAGCGGATCCCAGTCGAAAACATTATTTGATGGCGAGTGGATCGAAGGCAGGTCGGCAGGTCTATGTCCAGTCTCACCTTCTCTGACACCATACGATAGGACAACAACGAGCGTTGACGCTTGTACGACTTCATTCCAAAGTCGTACTGCAGGAGGCCATCAAAGCCGACTGCGGCTTTCTCGCCAAGAGTAACATCATGGATTATTCGTGAGTGGACTGCTACCCTCCGGTAATCGTTCTCATAACTCATTTGCTGTTAGTCTCCTGCTCGGAATTGACGAGGAGAATAAGCAGATGGTCTGCGGTCTTGTGGACACTATTGGTATGTGTACTTTATCGGGTCAATCCTCGCACATTACTCATGATGTCATAGGCAGCTACACTTTTGCCAAGACCTTGGAATACAAGGCTAAGCAAGGCTTGAACTCGTCGAAAGAGGTCACAGTTGTTCCGCCTCATGAGTATCAAGAGAGGTTCGTTAGCGCCATGGACGACTATTTCCTGGCATGTCCTGGTACGTTTGTATCCTTTATATGCGCCGCTTCATCGTTGATTATCTTCCTGTTTTCCTCTAGATAAATGGTCGCGACCGCTGGACAACTCCCAGATCCCAAGTGACTACAGGACTTTGCCCAGCGTGCTATAGTCATAGATCGAGGGCGCTCACGCAGTACCGATGATGAGGGAGAGGAATGTCTGGACGAATTACTCCGTATCCATGCTCACAATTGACATTGTTGTCCTACCAGCTTAGCTGTATTTTGCCTTGTAGTTTGTAGCTTTATGACCGACACGATACCTCACGGACTGGCTTTGTAGATCATCAATGTACCTCTTACTCGCAACTATGTTCTCATCTCGAATTTCGGTCTAGCGTCGGCGGTGTCCAGCCGCTCGAGCGATTGTCATGTTCTCGCGGCGCCTCCTCTCTCTCTCTCTCTCTCGCTCTCTCTCTCTCTCTCTCTCTCTCTCTCTCTCTGTGTGTGTGTGTGTGTGTGTGTGTGAGTGTGTGAGTGAAAACTCGATCACCGGAATGACTGAGCTTTCTGGATGATTTGTGGAAACGCCAGTATGACGAAGTGCCTCGGGGTTGATTGAGTAGACGCTCGACACCTCCGATTGGCTTGGTCACGCCGCCATCTCCGACCATATATAACATCTCGTATTACTCCAAGTGGTGGAACACGTTCAAAAAGCTTCTGCCAAGCTTTCATCACCGTGGCCGATCAGATATCATCACTATGTCCTCTGTTCGGCCACTCATCGTTATCGCGGGAGTCGGGAACGGCTTAGGTAGGCACAGAACGCAGTTCACTGGAAATACAGTTCAATACAACTAAGCGCTACATTTGTGTGCAGGTACCGGTGGCGCCACTGCGTACGTACACGTCTTCTATCGCGTCCGGACGGGCACGGCGAAGAGCTGGTTTGAACTCGTAACTCGGGCAACACTGACCTTACTCCTATCGTTGCGACTATCAGACGACTGTTTGCACAAGTGGGATACCGTGTTGCTCTTATTGCCAGAGGCGCAGACAAATTGAAGAATGTCGCTGATGAGCTGTCTGCGACTGGTGCCGAGGTGAGTGGCTTAACAACCCTTGGGCGGATATGCCGCGTTATATTCGATCCAACATACCTTACCTGATGGTCATGAAGGCTGATGCTTCCTCAATCCGCATCAGGTCGTCGCATTCCCAGTTGAGGCGTATGGGTACCAAGACATGACCAACGCATTCGCGGCCATCAAAGCCCACCAGTGGCCCTCTGCAGGCGCGACAGAGCTCCGAGTCGCCCTCTACAACGCCGGCGTGAGTGTCCGCAAGCCTTTCCTCGAGAACACGGAAAAAGATTTGCGGACGGTCACCGACACGAACTTCAACGGCGCCTTTGCCTTCTCCCGCCAAGCCATTCAAGAGTTCCTGAAGAACGAGCTCGACGACAAAGGGAAACGAGGCACATTGCTTTTTACGGGTGCAACCGGCAGTCTTCGGGGAAACATCACGACCAGCGCCTTCTCTGCAGGCAAGTTTGCTATGCGCTCTTTGAGCCAAAGCTTGAACAAGGAGTTTGGGCCGCAGAATATTCATGTGGGTGGCGCTGCAATCTCGGTCGCTTTCAACGATCATTGAACGGTCCGCTTCGCGATCTCAGGTTGCGCATGTACGTCGCAATTTGTAGTTCCTCGAGAATTGCCGCTTGAACCATCACGCTGAGTGTTACTCATCGTGCCTCTTTCGACATGTAGGCGGTTATTGACGGGGGTGAGGAAACAGCGATCACTATTCCTTTCTGTAGTGTCTACAATCCCCTCTGCCGTCCATCATGTGCTCCTGTCGTCCGACTAACATGGGCTGATTACGCTTCTAGCCATCTTGACCGACTTCCACCTCAAACGTTTCGGTGAATCCCTTAGGGACAATGTCGATGGACGCTTGGATCCGGCCAGCATCGCAACGGTACGGCAGTACTAGCACCCCCAGTTGAGCTGCTTCTCTGCTAACGACATGTCCCTAGGGCTACCTCTATCTTGTCAACCAGGACAGATCCGCCTGGACATGGGAGCTTGACTGTAGGTTGTTTGCCGATATGACGGTCTATAGCACTCCTGACGCACATGTGTTCTCCAGTGCGCCCTGCGCATGAGAAGTGGTGACTCCTATCAAGACAAGCCGTGTTATTGCGAATAAACTGGAACGTGAAACCTAAGTGTAGACTAGTATGGCAGCGTTACTACCACTTTGGCTGTGTATAGATCGGGGCTCATTCCAAGTGCACCGCAGGAGTTAGACTGTAACAGCAATCCGACTGAACAGAGGATGCAGGCGGTTTCTTATGACTCTGCGTAGCAAAGAGGTAGCCGCTGGGGCTAATTTCCGATATCCATGTAAACCGCCGGAGATAGAAGGACAGAAGACTGCACGACGGTATGGGCTCTGTCTTCAGGTGAGCTTGCGGTCAGGGACTATGTATCATAAATGTTTGGGGCGTGTTGGGACACAGATAAACGCACATTGAAACTCCGCTTGGGTCCGTGGATCGCGCGTCGTTAGTACTCTGAGCGTTCTTTGTCCCAGGAATCTCGGGACGCGACTACTCAGGCTAGCGACTCGTACACTCAGAACTGACAAGTACTGCAACGATGTCAAACACGGTGCATCCCTTCCAACACTCTAAACAGTCAGTCCTGGAGGTTTGATGACTCCTGCAGACAGACTTACGGACAGAACACGCGTCTCCCGCGTTTTATGCTCACGAGGCATGGGCCTCCATCCTAGTAGCAGCTAATCCAGACCTCCTGCGTAGGCAGTTATCTCGACGACTCGCCGAATTCGCCGAACTCGACGCCAAGGAGGACGAACATGTCAACGCCATAGCTCGCGAGCGCTTGGATATTGCGAAGCTCTGGAACCTCACCTCCCCTATCAACCGACTTCCAAACGAACTTCTCATCCACGTCTTCTCCGCGTATGCGATGGTCGGAACCTTCTCAGATCCAAAACATTGGCCTCGCATAGAATGGTCTTGTCTCATGCAAGTATGTCGCCGGTGGCGTGATGTGCTGGTCGCATCTGCGATATTCTGGCGGGACATCGACCTCGAACATGGGGTTGCATGGAACAGACTTTGCCTTGATCGTTCAGCTGCCGTTTCTCTCAATGTTCTTGCAAGAGAGCAATACATAAACAAAAACCATCTCAGCCTTATATGCCCTCACGCGCATCGGTTTCGGAGCCTCCGTCTCGGTGTGGTTGTCGACCCAAATGAATTCATGGTAGGCCTCGCCCATCAACTTGATCATGGCATGCCTCTCCTTGAAGACTTGTCATTCTATGGTAGAAGCAACCGAGACATCAGGGACAGCATCGGCGACAATCTCGGGCTTACCTCTAGTCGCTTTCCACGACTGCGAGTGTTACAGCTGACTAATTCAACTGCGCCTTCAGATGTCGCTCTCTATGCCCAACTGAAGAATCTGTCGCTGACCTCGTGTCTTTACGAATTCTCATTTGACGGCTTCATTGATGCACTGAGTGCATGCACCCAGCTAGAAACGCTCTATCTGCATGCAGCCCTTCATGGCCTGTCGGGCGAGTGGAGCCGCGGAGGACCTGTTCCTTGCAGACCACCTCTGTCTTTGCCAAGCTTGCACAGACTACATGTAACCCACAATGGCATTGTTCTTACTTCGCGGTTTCTGGCCTACCTGCTTCTCCCGCCTTCCGTCATCCTTCGCATACAGGATACCATGGAGGAGATGGGCAATAACGACAATTCTGGGCCCGATTCTGAAAATACCGCCATCGCGATGCTGCCGCCGGATCGCCACATTACTCTGCCTGCCCTCGACATGGCCTCCGAACTCAACGTGGCTGTCTGGAGGGCGTACGAGATATCCAGTGGGTCTACGGACCGTTGTGCTGCTCCACAGTATCCTCCGAACTTCACCTTACGAATGCATCCGCCCACCGAGCAAGAGGCCGAGCCGTTCCTTACGAAAGTGCTCTACGATCTGGTCGGGGCATGCGGGCGCTCTCCCCTCAAGTATCTCGCCGTTCGCGCCAACCATCGGTACGGCACAACGGCCGCCTGGACGACGGGTTTTCGGACTTTCCCCCTCTTGGAGGAACTCTGTATCTCCGGGGAGACTGACTATGGTTTCGTCTCTTCCGGGTCGATGCAAACCGTTTTCGTCGGACTCCACGCCGCTTCCGTCGACTGGCCCGAATCGCCGCTTGCGTGCCCGAACCTGGAGATCATAGACGTGAAAGGGAAGGGTACAGAAGCGGCGTACGTGGCCATGTGCAATTGCCTCCGATACCGCGCAGAAAAAGGTGCAGTACTGGAGGAGCTCTGGTTGGATTTTCCCGTGACAGACTCGTCCTCGGCCGTCGTCCGCGAATACGTGGACATTCTGATGATGCATACCGAAAGCGTGTACGTGCGGGGCAGACGAATCGAACGAGATTGAAGGACAGCCATAACAGGCAGGCAGAGACCGGTGCGTAGGCGATATGTTCTTTGGAACTTGAAACTGCGGAGGGTGAACCTAGCGTAGGTATAACGCTGCCCATGGCGCGGACAAACTCGATATTAGACCAATCTTACGTATTGCATGCTGCGTCGACTTGTTGTTTTGCGCTAGTCGGTGTAATAGCACAGGCGATCCGACGACAGACCAATGCAAACTTACATGAGAGCGGGTAAATTACAAACATGCGCCAAAGAGGCCCTGTATGCTATTCTACAACGACATCGATTTGGTCCAAATAACACTGTGAAGCGCGCTTTGCACCGCGGTAGTAAATATGGATGAGGGCGTATACGTACTATGTACGCGACGCGAATGCACCGAACAATACAGCAAGAAGACTCTATAACATATGCGACAGGCAAACTCCACAACAGTGCAAGCTGCCACGGCTAGAGATACATATTGCGTGTGTGCGGGTATGACATCCGCGTCCGCGCCCAAAGTGACAAAGTCTGGAATTGAGAGAAGCCGATTGGAGCAAGATCAGGACCACCTGATTGATATGCCACGATTACTGCACGGGGATACGACTAAGCGTGCTCGTCCGAGCCAGATTCCCGGAGAGAGGCCGATGAGGGGCTTCGTCCACGGGCGGCGTCTCGGAGCGCGCTGACGACCCCGAGAGCGAGCCGTAGCTCACGCTGCGCGACAAAGTCCCACCCACGTTGCTCGGAGTACCCCCGGGTGACGTCGCTGGCGGGGTGGCAGATGCACCGATGCCAGATGGGGTCGCCGCCGGACCACTGGTCCGACGCCGCTTGTCGACATGCACAGAATTGACAGCAGCGTTGTGACCGGCAGACGAGGCGGAGGGTGTCGCAAGTCTGGGCTGAGAAGGGGTTGACAGCGCGGGCAGTGGGTTCGAGCGTGTAGGTGCAGGTTGTTCGGGCCGGTCGTATACGGCGACGTACTGAGGGTTGGGAGGTGCGCGAATTATTCTGCGCAGTCCGCGCCTCGAGTCAGGAAGGTTCTTCGGTCCATCGACCATGCCTTCGACGTCTGGCGGAATGTAGATCTCGAGCTCTGACCGCACATCCTCCGCCCAAAACGGCGAGTGGAACGAGCTCTCGAGCAAGCTCTTGCGGTACGCGGCCGTGGGCTTCTTGAAATCCGCCGGGAGGGCGATGGGGTGTGGTCCTTGTGGACGATTCACGTACGCGTTGTACGCCTTCCATTCCGCTTCAGGCCGCCAGTTAATCTCGGCTTCCTCGCGCGTGACCAGACCGGTGGAAAGGAGGCCCCAGAGCATCTTGCCCGGGAGCCCAGGACCGTAACGGGCGCTCGAGGGCTCGAGACGGATGTAGCGATCATGCAGAACGAGAGTGTCGAGTGGCTTCGACCAGGTCTCGGGTGCGCGGATGTCGCGGCCCTTAGGGCGTGGCTCGTATGCGAAGTCGCGCACCTTGACGCCAGATCGTTTCGTGGCCGCCAAGTATTCCTCGGGTGTTGGCTCTGCTGGCTCTTCAACAATCTCAGTGGGGACGGGGGAAGGGGGAGTCACGTAGGGCTCGTCAGGATGGTGCCGAATGTCGGGAAGGATGATTGGGGTGAGTGTGGGTGAATCCGTGGCTGGATCGGACACAATGACCGATATAGAGGGGACAGTCACCAAGTCTTCAGTGCGCTTGCGCTTTCGAGAGGTCGCATGTGCTGTGTCGTCCGCGATTGGTTGTATATTGGGTGAATGAGGAGCTTCGCACTCGGACGAGCCGGTCGACGCATGCGAGAAGCCGTTGCGTTCTGCCATTGTGAGCGGCGGCGGCGGCGATAGTGGTAGTAAGAGTGCAAGGATGTTTGAGGCGAACTAGACTGTGCTGGATGAGTTAAAAAGGACTATCGTCGCTGTGGCCCGCGACGACAATTGCCAGTGGCGAAGGGCACAACAACACAAAGCGCCCGCGGCTGGAACAATTACCCCGGCCCGCAATTTTGGCCGGGCCAAGGGGACACTGCCTTATATGGCAAGGGGCGCATCAAGCGCGCAGCTCATTCTATCCTACTACATGTACAGCGCCTTGCATAAGTCCGTGAACGCGCTGATTTTTTCTCTCCGGCGTCTACGCTAAGCGACCTGCCCAAACAGGCCACATGACGGTCACAGGTCTGGAGCCCACGGCCCTCGCTGGCATCACAGACGAGTCTGCGATACACGCGTCTCGCACGTTCATGGTTGTTGACAGTCCATATTGCAGGGAGATGCGCTTGGTGAGGAATGGCACGGTCACTGATGTTCTCTGAACAAATAGAAGGTGATGCTCCACAAAGTAAGGACCGCAATTGATTACCCTCAACGGTCAAAATGTTTGCAGTGCGATTTGCAGACCATTAGCCTCGTTCTCTTACGCTCGACATGGGACATGGCAACACAATGTCTAGCGAGATCTGGAGATGCAGGAGGCGCTGCCACTAAGTACGCGTCCCTCGCGATTGCGCCTTTGCTCCAGACATGAAGTAAGCAGGTGAATTGTGTGGAGATTAGAACATGAGCATTAGACCACTTTATGCGCGTTCATATGTAGGACAAAATGAGATACAAACATTTCTTATCCATTATACACATAATGAACTTCTTGTATATCGAGTCAGTAGCTCTTCAATTGTGACGTGCCGTTATGGCGTAGTAGAAGTCTTCGTGACCGTAATGTGGCTTACTTAGGCAGGTCGCCTAGCGTAGACGCCGGAGAGAACAAAATCAGCGCGTTCACGGACTTATGCAAGGCG